TTCTAAGTCATCCTTGGAAGCAACTTCCAACAGAATCTTTAAGTGACCAATCCTCCCAACCAAACCTCTCATAAAAGACTGAAAGGTCATTAAAACAGATTCTCAAAGTCATCAAGTCATCAGAGAATTTTCCAACTGAACTAGATTATAGAGCATCTTAAAAAAGGTAAACTTCTCTTCTCTCTGTTTGATTAGAAACCGTGGATGTTAATGAATGATGTTTTTTTAAGAAAAAAGGATACTTTTTAACTCATCGGATTTGTTTCTATGGCTTTGATGTCATTGAACGTAAAGCTTGATACAATCTATTGATGTAGTAAATTAATCTTTAAAGAATATCTTTAATAAGAAATTTGGAATTTGGTTGTTGAAGTTGATCTTGGTATTCTTATCCAGAAGTCAAAAGTCTGTATGTCAGTGTTGTCCAAACTGTGTGCCGTAGAAATTTTTTTAAATGACGTGAGCCACATGCTGTGTCCGACTTTATTAATGGCTAAGGCCATTAAGGTGTGCCGTGGCTCAAAAAAATTTGGACAACACTGGTCTGTTTGGATGTCATTTAAAAGCCAAACGAAGTTTGACAACTTGTGTTGCTCGGATTTAAGTAATTGATATGAAAGTTGATGAATTTTCAATTAAAAATAATTAAAAAATTTTTCATCAAAAATAAATGAGTTAAAAATAGAAAATTTATATTTAGTAGCTTAATTTTGACAACCAATGACTTCACCATAGAATTATTTATGTGGCATGTAGAATGAAATTTCCAATTAATTATGAATAAATGTTAGAGCTGTTGAAGTTTTAATTGGTCATGATTATTAAATAGTTGTGGTTAATGAATGTTCTACTTTAAATGGGAAGGGGGGGGGGGGGGTACAGACCCATATTATACTTCAGCCATTATCCTTAACCTTTTATAATTCAGCATTAACATAATTTCAAAGAAATGTCCAAATAGAACCAAATTTTAACCCATATCATGAATAAATCCCTTCTAAGCCCTCCTCATCATCCACATAATCGCGATCAAATGACCTTTAGACATGCCAATTGAAAACAATCCCATTTGACACCTGCAAATGCGCTTTAATCATTAATACTTTATTACTCTTACTGTATATATATTATAAATTAGATCCCATCATCACGGCACCGTGCAAATTTTTATTTCTTCTTTTCCACACATTCTGCATTTTGTGGCTTTACATTCGTTTACCTCTTTAGTCATATATGTTGGAATTAAGTTAATGGGAAATTATTTATTTTTTTTACTCTCATTTCCTTTATTCATGTTGTGCTGAATATCATAACAAGAGCACAAAAAAGCATCTAGAAAAAGTTGTTGACTGTAAATTAATTTCCACGCTCACATTTTACATGAAAAAAAGGAACTAGCATTCTGATATCATGTTTGAGTGAAGGCATACATATGTGATTCTAGACTTTACTTCTATGTTGCGTGCTAAAATGATTTTATGCTTCACAACATTTTAAGCTACCTCTTTTCTTTATCATCATCATCATCATCATATAATTTGTAACGAATGGATGAGAAGAGAAGGCGGAAAAAATGAGAATTTATTTCAAAAAATAAAAAAGCTTATGAAATGAAATATAAAAAAAAGTACGAGAAAAGCTCAAGTATTTGGGTATTAAAAAGAGCGTTCCGTATGATGGCGCATATCTTCCATATTTTTCCAATAAATTTCATTAAATTGCATTTGTCATGATATAGCTCAAGTATGGAGCATGGTATTTTTATAGCTTCTTTTTGAAGTAATAATAGGGGTGTGTGGGATGTAGCATGTACTTCAAATGAGGTTTATGTTAATGATATGAATCTTTTTAACGTAATTGCTTTGCGAAAGTTGTAGAGAGTTTCAGGTGTTGATGCTTTTTATGGGATAATTTTTAAGAAGCTTTTTTGGGTTCTTTTAAGGTGCTTTAGGGTTGATTGTTAAAGTTTTGTAGACGAATGTCTTCAAAATGATTTGTTGAAGATTTTAAAATTTTGAAAATTTAAAAAATTTAAATGTTGAAAAATGAAAATTTAAAATATTTTAAAGTTGAAAAATTGAAAATTAAAAACAATCAAAATTTAAAAAATTTAAAAGTTGAAAAATTGAAAATTTAAAAAATTTTAAAGTTGAAAAATTGAAAATTTAAAAAAAAAATTATAAGTTGAAAAATTGAAAATTAAAAACAATCAAAAGTTAAAAAATCTAAAAGTTGAAAAATTGAAAATTTAAAAAAATTTTAAAGTTGAAAATTTGAATTTTAAAAAAATTTAAAAGTTGAAATATTGAAAATTTTAAAAAAAAATTAAAAGTTGAAAAATTGAAAATGTAAAAAATTTAAAAGTTGAAAAATTTGAAATTAAAAACTATCAAAAATTAAAAAGTTTAAAATTTAAAACAAGTTGAAGTTGAAGAATTGAAAATTTAAAAAATTTAAAACTTGAAAAATTGAAAATTTTAAAATTTTAAAGATAAAAAATTTAAAAATAAAGTTTAAAGGTAAAAAATTGAAAAGGAAAAAAATTGAAAATTAAAAACAGAATTAATCGGTTTTTAAATTCAGACATTCCTAGGTAATTCCAACTTAATTAAAAATTTAAAAAACTTAAAACTTTCAGATTTAAAAAACCCAACAAAACCCAATTCAAAACCTAATTAATTTAGCCTTGACAGCAACAGTTATCCTCTTCTACACTTTAATAGAAAAATCTATTAAAATGTTTATGTTCAACCTGTCTCTTCATCCCATCATTTCATCAAACTGCAACCACATTCACAACAACATTTATATTTTTATTAAAAAATGCGCTAAAGTAGCGGAAATGAAAGCAAAAGAAATGAATTACCGACGTTTATTCAGCAATTTTCCGTGCCCGGTGTACTTAATATAAAAATTACCTTTTTCACTTTTTTTCCATTCTCTAACATTGTCTATTGTTCTGGCAAGAACTTAAATTGCTTAACCGGATTTAATTGTTTTAAAACATGCAATCAGAATTGTGCTTGACTTTATGAAACCAACTTTTTCTTTATGACTTATTTTCCCTCGTTTTTATTTTAAACTTACGATTGTGCTGTTGTTTTTTTACCCAGTTCTTGTTTAGTTTAAAGAATTATTTTATTTTCTATCTATTTAGAGAATAAACAAATTTCACATCATCACACCAACGTGATTTGAGTCTTTGATTGAATTTCCTCTCGATGCTATCGCTCTATCACTGTTTTACTAATTCCAAATTCAGGGGTAAAACGTTTGTCGAATAAAAAATTGAAATAAAAATAATCAAAGAGGAGATGTCGATAAATGGTTTGTGTATATTCAACTAATGGCGCTTTCTTATTTTATTTTATTTTATGTTCATCCCTGGATTTAACAATATTCTTTTTCTCGTTTCTATCTTGTCATCATGCTGTGGATTTTTTGTATTCTACTTTGCTCTTATTAGACGCTCCTTCGAGGAATTTTGTCAGACTCTTTTCTTTGTCCTTTGATCAAACTTTGATTGAATTTACAGAACTTTTTCTTTTGTTTTTTCTTTGATTATTCATTTTAGATGTGTTAATTCAGTGTATGTGACTAAGTACCTTGGCTAGCTTTAACAAATATGCAACAAACGGCTATCCAAAATTTTAAAACAAGGAGCTTTTCTGATCTTAACTTGAACATTGTTGGTTATGTTCAAATTCTTCTTTGATTCTCCATTGAACAATAATTACTTAATTAACGGTTATTATAGATTGAAAATTGTTTTCGTTAAGTTCAACGAATGGAGTTTCGGATTAGAAACGTTAAAACATAATTTCAAAGACTGATTTTAATTCAATTTAATGAACTTTGTGAATTAAAATTGGTCAAACTGCTCAGATTCATCAGAAGAGATTCTAGGAATTGAAAATTGTGTAAATTCAGATTGATTTTATGTCAAATCATTAGAACTCACTTTTATTTGCTTTGAAAGAGTCATCTCAACTTCATACAAAGTTTAAATCAAGGATTAGCTCTACAATGCATCATTCTGACACCTTTTCAAACCTCAAAAGTGACAGCAGTCAGCAAAACAACTGCATTTCATATAATTTCGAGATATTTATATTGCCAACCTTAGTTTCCATGAATGTTTGTTGATAATCCATTAAAATTAAGAATCCGCAAACAAGCTTTACATGAGATTCTCACAAACAATGTAAGTTAAGACTACATCTGCCTCACTGTCTCTCCACACATCAAGAGCTCAAAAACCATCAACCAAAACCTAAATCAAATCTGACAAAATTCCCCCAAAAGCTCTTAAGTCAATAAAAATAAAAGAACAAAGAAGAAAAAGCGAGCAAAAATGTCCAAAAAAAATATATTTTTAAATTCTTTCTATCAACACTAATAAAATTTTTAAATTAAATTAAATTAAATTTCGATTCACAGTAAGTTTATATTTTATATAGATTTAGTTCCACTGTTGCTGATATGATTTTAGGATTAAACAAAATAAAAAAAATATTTTCACAGCGATTTTCAATAAATCTCTCTTGAATGCATTTGTGTCAAAAAACTATTTTTCATTCATATCCCCAAATGCATAAAAGGAAGCAACAAAAATTATTTTCAGATTGTAGGGTGGGCTGTGGCAGAGCCAACATAATTTCCACAATCTCGAAAATTGAAAAAAAAATGGCATTCGAAAATGTTCAGTTGATGTTGTATTTTCCATTATAAGTACGCCTCGTTAAACAGAAAGACATTAATTCTGCATTCATCCAATACTGTATAATATCTCCTTCCACCATCGCTAGTCATTCCTATCTATGTGTTTCATTTCATTTCTCACTATTTTTTTATTATAGATATATATTTTATTTCACTAGATGTATAGGTTCTTTTTTTTTTGGTTATAGTCTCATATATACACAGTTTTTCAGTCGCAGAAGCTGCATTGCCGCATTATTCTTCACCACAAAATTTATTTTCATTTCAGTTCGACTATTTTATACTTTTTTTTTATTATTCATCTCACAATTTTTTTTTTTCACAGAATAGAAAATAAAAAAAAAATTATTTTAGCACCTCATTGATTAAAAGTTTAATATTATTTTATGGAAATAAACACAAACACCGTCCATTTCGGTACACTTTGCTTATTTTTTTGCATGTTACACTATAATTTGTCTTAACTGTATGAGATTCGTGCTATTGTATTTCGCCGTATCTAGGGGCATCGCATTTGGATTCTTCTTTGATTGTGTATGCCAAACAAGTATCTGCGAAAAAAAGGAAGTAAAAAGGAGAATTGAGAAGATGATATAGTAAGTTATGAAGTCACTGGGAACACCTTAATTTTAAGAGAGTCTTTATCAATGGCAGTGTGCAGGCGTGTAGCCAAGATTGTATTGTCCACCTCTTAAGCGTTTTAGGCCGTGCTCTCGCTACAGTTCAAAACGTTTAGGGGGAAGACAAGACCCTCCTGGCTACGCACAGCCTGTGTGGAAGATTTATCGATGAATGAGGAGGATTTTTGATCAAGACTTGAATTTAGACCCTCTTTTAAGGCATAGACACTGATAATTTCTTTTGTAGACACAAGCCCTTATGTAGCACTCGTTTGGACGCTACGCAAAATCTGGAATTCTAATAGACTCCGTGTGAAGGGAATGCAAGGGTGCAGAACTGATCAAAATGATTAAAAATGATCAAAATCCAATTTATCAGTTCCGCACTCTTACGGTAAGATTAAGTATCCCGGGTACCCCCACCCCCCCTAAAATACCACAAGGAAACCATCCCTTGATTTATGTAGAGTTTTATGTTCTTGAACTTTAAGAAACCTTCAAGTGCTTTGGGGTAGTTCATTTATAATGTCCAGGGGGAGGGGAGGGGGGCGTAGTGTCAGCAAAAAAAGAACATTAGAAATTCCTGGAAATCCATTGTTCTCTTTTGAAAAATGACCATAAATTTTTGACGTCATAAGTGAACAAACCCTCTTTTAAGATTGAGCAAAGTTCTCAAAAAAATCTTGACACAGAAAGAAGTTCCAATTTAAAGGTTGCCTAGATTCACATTTCATCATCTAGTAAAGAACAAATAGTTTTGTTCTTGAATATGAAGCCAGCATAAATTCAACAAATAACCACAAAATTTAGCCTTAATTTAAAGCTAAAAGCTTCAACTTTTTACTTTAACAATAATTACGTTCGTTCCATTAGCTGTTGTTGTAAATTAAGTGCTATCATACAACAACACAGAAACCCTGTAACAACATCCGATGTTGCCTTTAGGCATAAGTAATTTGCAGCTCTCAGATACATTGAGTAGCAAAGAGGCCATTCTATATTTATTACATTATCTTTAAATGGAAATAATTGCTATTTAAGCGTATCAATGAGCTTTAAGCCCCCTAAAGCGACTCTTTAAAGGCAGACAATTTTCATCAAATAAGCAATATTCCTTCCAAATCATGTGCAAACGGAATATCTTAAATTAAATTTTTACAGCCTATATATTTACAGCATCTTCCTGTATATAAATCGACATTTGTTTCTACGTCTACCTCAACGTGACAAATCTTTTTTCTTAAATGAAATTAAATTGTAATTTAATTTTTTGTTCCTCCTCATTCCTTATAGCTTCAATTTTCAGATTGCCATTCGTAGGCATAAAATATACAATATGGATATACATACCTCAGTACAATTTGATGCTAGTAATTCAATTTCAGTCAGTTTTAAAGGCGACAAGCTTTTTAGAAATCCATCTTCCTCGTAGCCAGGCTTATATGGCATGCTAGCATTCGGTCGTGAGTGTAGAAACCGCACGGATACAGAAAAACTGGCCATATCAACCTATGAATAGACATTAAAGAAACATGAACATGTGGAACTATGTCTATCTGGGAATTCAATGTTCTGTCTGATTTTTGAATGGGGGTGGGGAGAGGCTGGGATGAGTAGAGTTGTTGGTTGGTGTCAAAAAACGCAGTTTTGCATTATAAAGGAAATTAGTAGTTTGATTTATGTCACTTACAGCTTGAAAGACTAACTGAATTAGTTTAAAAACAACAGAAGTGGTTTAGCATTGATTCAAGCCTAATTGAACCAGATCAAAGTTTGTTTGATTCGGATCAAAGCTTGATTGAACCGGATCAAAACTTTATTGAACTAGTTCAAAGATTGATTGAACCGGATCAAAACTTAATTGATTGAACGAGGTAAGAAGTGACAGACCGACACCTCAAACAAATAGCCTCAATTTCCACCAGACAATAAGACTAAGAAAAAAAAATACATACTGGATACTTTCGACCTCCATTCCAACCGTCATAAAATCCTGCGATAGTTCCATTCTTCACAATCGGTGTCGACACACCGTATTTAGTTATAAGTCCAACAGGCCACATGGAAACCTTTTTTGTATACCGCATCTGTGAAAATAGAAAATTTTTTCCATATAGATAAAGAGATAAATTTTATGTTCATATAGGGTTTCTGAAAAACGGCATTTTTAAAAAACGGCCGTTTCCGTTTTTTTCCAAAAAACGGCCGTTAACGGGTCCGTTTTTTTAATTCTACCGAAATTGTGTTTTATGCACGGTTTTAGTCACATACTGAAATTGTTGTCAAAAAACGAACTTATTACAGTGTATTGTGTCTAAAAAAACTTTTATTCACACCCTGTTTTTTCGTTATAAGCTACTACTTGTTACTAAGCTACTAGCTTAGTAAAGTTTTTTTGAATTTGCAAATTTTTTGTAATCTTTACTAAGCTACTACCAAAAATAAAGTTTAATTAATCTTTTTCAACTTTCTAAGTATCAGTTTCAATGTCTTATGACATTGTCAATGAAATAAAATCGGGAAGATAGCAAAATTTCTTTAATTAAGTTAAAAAATTCAAAAAATTTCATATAAGTTCAATTTCTTTACTAAGCTACTAGTGAGCCAAAAAAATCACATTTTTATTCTCCTAAGCTATAAGCTAGCTCAGGGGCGTAGCCAGAAAATTTTTGAAGGGGGGGCCCATTTTTGAAAATTAAAAAACCGTTATTTTGTATTCTTAAATCTATATTCATTCTTCATAAGTTTAAATATTTAATTCATTATTCATACATTAAATTTAATTTTTCGTGCTGATTTTGACATTTCTTTCATCACTTCCTCTACATTAACTGGTTCTTCTCTATAAATACTTAATAAAACAATTATCAGATTTTCGTAGGGGGGGCCCGGGCCCCCTATGGCCCCCCCCTGGCTACGCCCCTGAGCTAGCTTATAACAAAAAAACAGGATACTTCAAACTTTAAAAATATTTAAACATCAAGTAGTCGTTACAAAACTTAACAACTTAAATTTAATGAGTATGAAAGAATTATTGGAGTTAATATTATTTTATTCTGAACCTAAAATTTTCACGAGCTAGAAAAGAAAAACGGAAAAAACGGCTAGAAAAAAACAGCCGTTTTCCGTTTTTATTTTTCTCTGAAAAACGGCTGTTTTTCCGTTTCCGTTAACGGCTTCAGAAACCCTATGTTCATATGAATATGATGGAAAAATGTACAGAACGGAAATACGAAAGAAAAAAAAATTGAATTGCGGAATGAATAAGAGCATTTATTTCCAAGCAATTAAAAAAAAAATTTTTTCATCATCCCCTCTGTGTTTTAGCATTTCACACTTTCCCCACTCATCTCTCTTATTCATCCAAACACCATTTTGTCATTCATTCAAACTCATTCCAGCTGTCATTAAGCACACAGTGCGCGTTATATGGTTTAAAGTCAGAGCCTGTGTAGAGTAAAGGGAGAAGGAGCAAAAAAAGGGCGCGCAAAAACATAAATTTTCATTTTTGCCATTCATTCGTTCGCTGTTCACATCTATAGCTGAATTTCCTTGGAAAGAGTTGCAATAGCTTTGTCATATTCTTTTTTTGTTGTTGAGTTTTTCATCAGATGTCTATAGATGCAGAATGTGATTGCTATTTAGATGTTAAAGTGCGTGGGATGTTTGACATTTTTTTTTCATGTGCAGATGGATCATGTGCAATGAACTCTTGAAGAATTTTTATGCATTTGAAGTGAAAATGGATGTGAATCGTTTGTTCATTTGAATGGGTTTGGTTTTTGGGATTCAATCAGTTGCTATTGTGATTCAAATTAAGCTTTTGCTGGGGTGGAGTAAGAAATTTGGATTAGGGATTTGCGAGTTAGGGATTCATATGTGGAGGTTGGGTTGTTTAGAGGATGTTCATTAAAACTTCAACATAAAATGAAAGGATTAATGAGGGGCGTTAAGTGAATCATCCTTAAGTCATTTATTAAGGATTAAATTCAATTGTCATTCTTGATATAGTGAGTGTATTATCTTAGTAAGGATCCTTGGTCCTATGTGACACTATATACTAGTTACCTAAGGTTATAACTTCTAAAAGTCACTCTCCTGGGTAAGTTATAAGGAATAAGATCCAGAAACCCTACAAACCCTACAAATCCCACAAATTTCACACTCCAAACCCTCACAACATCACCAAATGCGCCCCAAAAATCCCCCAAAATTCACATTCACAACTTCAAACTGATCGTTAAACTTTTTTTCCTTCCCTTTCCTTTCACTTCCTTTTATCAACATGAAAATGGTATTCACACATGTGTCACGAATGAAAAAAAAAAGTAAAATAAAATCAAGGCATAAATACAAGCGAGAAGAAAGGAAAATAACATGAAATGTCAAAAAATCTCGTTCCTCATTCAAATATTATTTGCATTTAAATAAAATAAGGAGAATGAATATAACTGACATATATTTTATGAAAGAAAGTGATGATGATGAGGAGGAAAAAAAAGTTTGAAGAAGATTGAAGGTTGCTGTTCTGTATTCATCTACATATTATGGCGGGTAAAGTGGGTGGAGGAGTGATTAAGCTGCTTGAAAGTGTTTAAAAATATAACGGTTAAAATTTATTTGAAAAATAAACTGTTGATGAAGGGTTGTAATCCCACAACCCAGGCGCGTAGCCAGGGGGGGATTTGAGGGACAAATCCCCCTTAGTCTTGAAAAAATTTCTTCATTTTGCTAGAGTTTTTATGAAAAACTCAAAAAACTCAAAAAAATCCCTTTTATCCAAAATTTTCCTCCCCCCCCACCCCCCTCTTCATCTTTATTTCCTTATGCATTCATAATCTTCTACAAAATAACTTTTTAATTTCTTGCTATTTTTTTCTTCGTTCATTCAACTACGACTCATTTAGTGAAGAGGTAAACATTACAAGCATTCTGTCTATAAATTATTATTTCCTAGATTCCTCGGTGACATTATTTTCTCTATTCGCAAACGAGTTCCTCGAGTAGTAATTTATTCACAAAGTAATAACACTAAGAAAGAGTTTCAAATTTATGGCTTAAAATCGTGGAGGATTTCTAATATTTTGTCGCTATTTCGACGGTAATTTGATCCTCGTTAAGACATAATTTGTTAAAAATATTTCGTGTTCTGCTTAGATTATTTCTATGGAAATACTTAAGATGATTGCGGGTTATGAGAGTAAATTTGTTGATAATGAAGACATCTGAGTTAAAACAAGCAATTGTCTCTTCTATTGAAGTATTGTTGTTAAGTGTCTGTTTTTGAGATTCTCGTCAAGATGTTGACATAGAGAAGTTGTTGTCATAATCATTAGATTGCTTATAATGAGGAATGTCTTGTATGATTTACTATAATTGGTGCTACAATTGACTTTGTCTTTAATATCGTTGTATAATTCTTAATAAATCTTGATGTTATCTTGGTTAGGATTCGAACTTAATCTTGAAGATATCTGGTTTTATTTTCTTAGCAATCACAACTTTAAGTTATTAAGAGTTGCTACTGTGTGTGACGAAATGTCTTTATAAGCTACATATGTAAAGTTCTTATTGAACAGTGATCACCTAGGCTACTAAATTGAGTCCTCGACTTTTTATACGCGATACAAAGCTAATGACAGTTTAACGAGTCACCGATCTTTTTTAAAATCTAGTCCTAAAGCACACATAAGGATTCGAACTCCTTCACAAAATCTAATAAAACGACATTCAGCAATTTCCATTTTTGATGACAAACTCACCCACAAGTAGGTAGACACATCAAATCAACTTTCTAAATTCTGCTGACACAATTCGTGTCACTCAAGTCAACCCTCATTAATCAGCTATTTTTTTGAAATAAAAAACTTCAAAGCCACGTCATTATAATTCAAATTTCATTCCAAGAATAATCGTGACTAGCAAAAGGCGTGGTAAAAAATTCCTTTTCAAGTCTTATAAAGTTTCATTTTCATCTTCTTTAAATTTCACTTTGATCAATCAATTTATATCTTTGAGAAATGCGCTGATGATGCCAATTTACACGAGATCATAAATTTCAAATGCTCTGGCATCATTACATCATATATGCAGCATGGAAAATTGTCACCATTCATTGTAACATGTCATATATGTGTGTGCGTACGTACTTTGGATAAATGGGAGGGAAAGAAAATCGTTGAATGGAAATTGCTCTTAGACATTTTTCTCTAGATGATGGTGAACTGTCAAGGGATCATCTGTAAATGAAGCGCAGTTTATGATATTCGTGGATGTGGGAGGAATGAAATTTGTTATGATTGTCTTACATGACGTAGGCATTTGCGTATGATCTAGAAAAATTATAAAAAATCTCAAATGTCTTGGGTTATTTTTGCATATTTTTATGAAGTCTGCTTAAGGATTGAATGATGTTGTAAAACAGTCTAAACAATTGAACAATTCAAATCTGAAGATATTAAAGATTCATAAGTCAAATAAACATTCTGCCCAGTTTTAAAAACATCTCGATAGCTTAGTGGGAAGATTATGCGACTGAGAATCTTAAACAGCTCGAGTTCGATTTCCATCCGAGACAAATTTCTGCTAATTTATCAAATTTACTATCAAAATAAGGTTCAACAGGTATCAATAAATCTAGCTAGGTTATCTAGCTTTGGTGGCTTGTATGGTCGAAAATTCAATGAGATCATTTATAGATGTGTTTGGGGAAGTGTACCTCATGGATTCCTAGAAACCAATCTCTGTTTAGAATTCTCCACTCCAAAATTCATCCAAACATTTTAAATCCCTTCCAATTCAACAAAAATCTCCCAACATTCATTAAACTATCAAAAATCCAGTTCTAAAGCTAACAAAACTGCATCCAAAAACACAACATCCAACACAACATCAATGAAACAAAAAGCGAGAATCTCAAATGAAGCATTCCATTTATTAATGCCCGTCGTTCAGCCATAATGAACATAAAACCACATTTGCTTCGCCAAAAATAACCATCAAGAAATAAAGAGAACAGCAGCAGCAAGCAAGCAAGGAGCGGATCCAAAAAAAAAGACGAAGCATTGAAAAATGTTTGAAAATAAAA